GAACCAAAGGCGGATTCAGCGTTATAGTTCTGAACTAAAGTTGAAGTTGAACCCTTTTGAGTTGTGAACTAAACTTCAACTGTAGTTCAAAACTATAACGATGAATCTGCCTTTAATACACATACATACATACATACTTAACAAAACCTATTCTTCCATTTTTAATAGCAATTTTGTCGCCGTTGGAAAACGCCTCCACGGCTTGGCAGCAACACATCTTCCCCAGTTGCATGCAATTTATTCATATCGCCGGTTAAATCTCGCTGCTCTAACAGTACACCATCTAAAACATCGCTCACAAATACCAGTAACGGTAGTCCCAATATCGGCACACCAATTATGAAAGCTAATCGACGGGCACTATTTAATTCCACTCCACAGCGTTCAAGTTTTGAGACAGTTGTTGAGAATGGTATCGATGATGATATATCTTTAGTTGTCGATAAACAAAATGGGAATCATAAGGCTGCTGAAGAAGGCGAAGGCACTGAAGACGACAACATCAACCCGGCACTAGTGAGCGAAGAGGAAACAAATAATAATAGTAACGAACAAATAACCTCGCAAGGCGGAGATATCAATGTTTTAAAAAATATAACATCACAAAACACGCCAGTTCTACACATGAAACGCAACTTATTTTTCACGTATCGCGAACCACATCCTAATACTCCAGTGGAGCAGAATGTACCCGAAGCCAATGATTCGCCTAACACATCTATGTTGGGTGACCTGGACCTGAGCGCAATTGCCACTAATAATGAGACTCAGCAGTTGGAGCAGCCTCAGCAGCATGCATTCAAGCTAAAAGGGAGCATGCTAAAAACTGCCCTGTGCCGTAAAATGCCATTGTTTAAGGATAATTTCAGCACCTATCGCGATTCGAGCGCAGTCTCTTCGCCAGACTCAGACTGTTGCAATGATTCGCGTAGCATATTGCTAAATGAGCCTGAATACCTCGACAGTCCGGGGTTCAAAGAGCGTCATATTAAAATTACAGATACTGAAAAGGGCTTAGAATTGATTGGCCGTGAACTGGCTAAGGAACAAAACGTAGAATGGCGCGAATATTGGGACTTTTTAGACTCATTCATCAACATTGCATCCGATGATGGTTTGAGTAAACTAGAAAACTACTTCACACAGCGTCTTAAGGAGGAGGAAATGACAAAGAAAACTGCACAAGCAATGGCCAAGTCGGCGGTAATTTTGGACAGTGTATGCAATGCGCTGGATAAGTTACACTTTCCTGAGAACGGCAGTCTGCATGATTTTCGAAATGGTTTTAATAATGAAAGGGCGCGCTTCGCAAACATGACGGGTACCGGCGAAACAAGTACAACGGCGCCTCAATCTACAACACCCTACACATGTGTTGAAAAATCGGTACAAGTGTTTGCCAAACGGATGACAAAGACAATTATACATAACATTGATAACGTGGTATCTATTAACGACACCCTCCTGTCCGAGTTAAAAAGACTGAAATCGTTAATATGTAGTTTTAAGGAAGATACGCGTTTCCTAAATGTAAACTTCGCAAAAGTACACTCAAGAATTGGCAATTTAATTTCAGTCTACTTGGCAAATTCACAAGAAGTAACATCTGCCATGAAATCAAAGGTAAGTGGGAGTATTTCAAATAACGCATGGAATTGTAGCACCTAATTACGTTTATTCTACCAGATTAAAGGTCTTATTAAGCACATGCTTACGCCTGGTGAGCGGCGTGAGCACATCGAATGTGTTTGCTGGCGAATACTTAAAATGTTGGAGTCACCAAGTGAGTGATTTTTTAACACCACAATGAAAAAGAATAATGAATAAAATTTCTATAAACGCTTACTTTCCAGCCGATCAAATACTGCCCGAACAACTTAAAACCGAAGAAATGTGTTCAAGTGCGTGGGAGAAGGAACAGGAATGCGAGTGCCAATGGGAAACTAATCTCAGTCGTAAAACAAGTCGACGAAATCGTATGGAAGCGCGTTATCGTAGCCATCAACAAGCTAAACAACAACACCAGCAGCAACAAGATTTTCAAAAAGCCAATTCAAGAAATGTAGATGGTAGTATTGAGTGGCGTGATCCATTTCCGTGCAACGACTCGGATGCAATGAAGGTTAACGAGCAATGGCGCGATCCTGTTGACTGCAATGAGGGAGGAGGTGAACGATGGCGCGATGCCAATATACGTGATGAATCACCCGATAACGATATATTTTGGGTAAGAAAAAATTTATATTTTTCGTTCCCTTCTGTTTATTTTTATAAATTCACATGAGATTTGTGGTCTTATTTTGATAAAAAACCAATTCTTTAAAAAAGTTTCTCAATTAAAAAATAAAGTATTTACCAAGCAAACTAAAAACAAACTAGTGGCCCGGCATGCAATGCCCTGCTTGAAATTAATTACTTAATGGACAACAAAACGAAAAAAATAACATTCATGAAGAGTTGAATTGTCTGCATATATGTACATATGTATGTACCATGCTACCAGCTGTATTCAAAGAAAGCTTCAGTTTGGTTGCCGGATGTATACCTGCCCAAGACTTGTCACTACAGCAACGTTCCCAAAATTATTTGGGAAAATTTTATGCTGTTCAACAACAACAACAACAAAAACGAAATCTTGAGTTTTTTAACACAAGCGATCAGGCGCCAATTACCCTCGTATATAGCGACGCTTTTAGGCTCTCAGAGGGCTAATGATGGTACAAGCTGCAGTGATTATCGATTTCTTATAGTAAACAACGTTTTTCGTCTGCCGTTCTGACATAAATTTGGTAGTGAGAGAAGCACCCTAAAATAACTTTTAAAATTTATATGTCCTTTAAACACAAACTTAGTTTTGAAAAATGTGTTTGAAAGGCATATAAATATTAAAAGCTACTTGCGAAAACGGCACTAAGAATTCCAAAATTCACTCCAAGTTAACTTTTTAGATAGAAAGTCATGTCAAAAAATCATTGAAACCCCTCTATTTAGGCGTATTTATTATTGTCTTCGAAATGTACTATTTTACATGTGCCAGCAGTTTTTTGTGCTGAGGCAGCAAAAATTATATGTATATAATCTTTTGTTTTCAGTCCGATTTTGGAGATACGGATTCAGACAATGAAGAAGAGGTGTGGGCTACGCCACCCGAGAGTCCATCCCAGTGGAGTTTAATGGAAGAACCTGAGGAGACATTCAAGATTTTTATATATGGGTAAACAGTTTGCAGTATTCTACATTTCATATCCATTTTTATTGTTGTATAATAACCAAACAAATATTGGACAATTTTATAGGCCGATAGCGTTACAAATTTATAACAATAGGTATTGTAGAATTTGGAATTTAATAATTTTCCATTTATTCTTTTACAGCAATGAACCGACAAAACGCGATGTGGACGTATTGAATGCCATTATTCATGTTGATATTGATAAAACAAAATATGCCAACATAAACTCCTGGAAAACTGCATTGCTACGCTATCCTAAAGAGGAAATGGATGCGTAAGTGTTATGTGTTTTGACGCAATGTGTTAATATGTGTTTAAAATAGCGAAGATAATCCAAAGAATGAAGAAATTATGTGCCCTCATAAAATGATTGCTAGTATGTCAGTTAATTATTATTTCGCAAAATGAACATAAAATGAATTGGATACATATTTGTGCTTTTGTGCTATGCTTGTGTTATGCGCATTTATGTTGTGGTATGTATCTGTTTATGTGTGTATGTTACTGTGGTGTTGCTAAGATCTCGCTGCTTATTAAACTGCTTTTCAATTGTTCTATGAACTTCCATATTTGAATCTTTCTATTTACAGCTTTCCATCACTTTCTATTGTGAAGAAATCGCACTCGTTTACAATGCCTCGTACACCACAACGTAAACAGTTCCCGCCTACACCTTTTCCTCAGCGGCAGCCAACATCGAAAAGTCTTTCGAGCACGCCAATTACAGTCAAGTTAACAGGCACACCGGCTCTACCGTCACAACAGATGGATCCAACAGTCAAACAGCGAGTACTGCCAACAACAGCGAAGCGCCTCTTTGCGCGTCAAACGCTTTCGAACCTATTGGCGCCCTTCCACGCCAACAACACTCACTAACAACTGTTTTTTATTTGGTTATGCGAAGTGTGGCAAGTCCGGTGATAGTTGCGCAACTTGGAATAGGAAGTGTTGGGGGCTAAGTTTCAAACACATTTTCAAATACCATTAATTTAAATATTCATTGCTGAAGATAAACTTACAATAATGTACTACTTTTATGTATGTTCGTATATGCGTTAACGTTATTAATGATTTCTGGCTGTAATCAAACTGAGTTCATTTGGAATTTATCGTAAAATCTCTATGCGTATTTTTAAAGCATAGAAACGCGTTTTATATTGGTTAAATTTTTATGTTTTCGTTATACAAAATAAATAAAACTTTATGAAGTATTTGTATTTTATTGTACCAACTTACTCATGAATTTATAGTATTAAACTCAATAAATAATTTGCCGCCAGCTAAATTTTATTTTATTTTTTCTAAACTAAATGATGTGCAGCAGTAAACTACGGAGACGCAAACAAAGGCTGAATTTACTAATTTATACATAAAAACGTACATATATAAATTATATAACTTAAATTTGAGTACATACTATGCAAAACTTTCAAAAATCTCGCAAGAAGACCACTTTTTAGAACAATATGTTTTGACATTAAGCTGCAGTTTGCCATTATTTATTGAAATAACTTTTCCAAATTCTATAATGGGCCTAAAAATGTGAAAAAAGAAATTAAATTCCTTGATTTTAAACTGAATGCTGAGCGATTTCTTATTTGAGTTTCCGTATGCTATGGAATGTATTTTGTAAAAATTTTTATGAAACAAAAAATATGTGCAGCGAAATGTGCGAAAATCTTCAATTCTGATACATAATTATAAAAAATAAAAGTTTTAAACGACGCTGAAGCGATAAAAAAATTGTTTTAATTATATGTTGTGCATTTCATTTGGAATACCCCTAGTAATATTTTTAAAGTGAGTATTTTTATTGGTCCCGTGAATAATGCAGCGTGTTTTAAGACCGCAATAAAAAAATGAAATTAGGCCACGCGGCTTGAAAAGTGAGACCCTAAAAAGTTAATATGCCCACAATTTAATTTTATTTCGATGTGTGAACAACCAGAAAGACCTTTTTGTCACATTTTGGAAATCAGTTTCAGAAATAAAAGCTGCAAGATGTGACTGCAATTGAGCGAGCGCAAATCGATTTCGGAAATATATTTCAACTTGCTCGTGCTGCACTAGCAAGCTGCAATTCGCCTTTCATTCGAGAATCGGCCAAAACGGCCGATGCCGATTCTTTTCGCCGATACTAGCCTCGACATCGGCCGATTAATCGGTCGGACTCTACTCCTTTATGCGAATGGCCATTTTGAAGTTCACTAAATAGAACACAGAAAATGATATAGATCTCTAGCCCATCTACCTCACTAATGCGTGATATGCATACATATATCCTTTTAAACATAATTTAATAATCCTAAGCATATTTTAAATTTCGTGAAAACTCACAGGAAAGAAATTGGATAGGACTCTTTACTTTGCAACAATTATATCAGGTAGAAAAAAAGCAAAAAAAAACTTTGAATTAAATTGTATCTCTGGTCAAGAATATCGTGCGCCAAAAATCGGTAATGGCGATTTCGTTTCTACAAAAAAATCTTGCCTTCTCATCGCCCTCTCCTTAGTGTTTGTGCGTAGAGGGCAAAGAGAAGGTTGCCTTTTTCGGTAGAAACGAAATCGGCATAAGGCAAATAAACAACAAAACATACACCGCACTAAGAAAAATGTAAAGCGAACTTACAGGAAAATTTTAAATCTAATTATGAAGGTCAATAACAATGTTAATTAAAAGTACCAAGTCTCCTCCCAATTTCTTTATCAGCTTTTGAAATTATACCTCAAAAGGAGCCCCATTTTTCTTTTATAAAAAATCTCCATATATTTGTATGTATAGATGAGATGCCTAACGGTTTCTTACCGACAAATATGTTAAACATATACCAATTCAGACTGTTAATACGTTTTTACAATGTATTGGTTTGAAATTTGCTAGAAGGTTAAACACTAAGTTGTCCACATCCACTTAACCTTCCCTTTTTTCATCAGAATCGTTAGGGGTTAAGGCATTACCCCCAAAGCTTACAACGAAATATTTTATTTCCTTCTCTAAAGGTCGTTTAACAGACTTTTTTGTCAAGATGGGGACAAAGCCCAATATTTTTTTTCCATCACGTTTGGCTTACAATTTGCACCAAATTATATATTACTAATATGTGTTCTAAATATGAAAAAAATCTGGATAGCTCTCGATCCCTGCGCCACCTATCGGAAGACAAACTGTTCCTTCTTTTCCAATACCTGCCACCTTTCGCCATAAGCATGCTTTTGATAACATATGTAGCTGTGTCAAATCTCAGGCCGTTAGCATAACCGGTTTCAGATAAAAACGTTTTGAGAAGTTAATTAAGTATGGGATGTGCCACGCCCTCTACCACTTTTCACAACAAGTATGATGAAATATGTAGCTGTGTAAAATTTCAGGACGTTGGCATAGGCGTTTCCAGATATAAGCGATTTGAGAATTTAAGTTTATATGGAAGGTGCCACGCCCCCCTTTTGCAAAACCTACCATTTTGCATTGTAAGTAGGGTATTTACAATTTATGCATCCTTGTAAACTTTCAGTTCCTCTGCGTAATTTGTTTTAGAGATACATATATCGGTTTTCACATTTTAGTCTGTATGTCAGATGCCACGCCCCCTATGTTACGGGATTATCATTTCTGGATTAGAGGAAGTTATATTCTTTAAATCGGTATATGTTTCATTGAAATCGAGCGAACAGTGCCTTCATAAAAGGGAGTTCAAAATTTTCTTGTGGCGTATTTATATATAAATTCATAATTAAGAGGAAAGTTAGAAGAGTACCCCTCCGGTAGACAACATACATTTAGGGATGGAAATGTGCCATGAATCTTCCAGGAAGGAAGCAGGCAACTGGGGGATGAGCAACGAGGGTCAACAAAACAACAAAAAAGTTGTATCTAAAAACTCCAAAAATGCTATAGTTATTTGTTAAACAAAACCAGTGTAAGCATTATGCTTCCATTGTTTTCATAACGGTTCTTGAAAGATAGTTTATCAAATTTGTTGCTGCATTCCTGACAACATGTTAGAGAACAATTTGAAGTAATCTTGTATTTTAAATAGAAATAAACAGGATAGAATTTGCAAAGAATTTACTAGCCAAAACCAAAAGTGCGATAATTTCTACAAAAATATTTTGAATTAGTACAAAATCTCAAAAAAGGATATTAGCTTAACATGGCATGGTATGAGCAACACTTTTTCTATTAGATAATAGGTTTGTATAGTAACTTCTCCAGTAAAACATTGCAGCGAGAGCGTAAAAGCAAAATAGAGCGTAAAATTGAGAACAAGAGAAAATTAGCAGAAAAAGTTAATGAACACGAAACTAGCAAAAACTTGCAAGTGAACAGCTGTTGCACTGTTTTGACATTCTGCTGTAAACATTTTACTATTTATAAATCAGTTTTAAACTCTTTGCTTTACACAAGAGCACTTACACAGTCTAGTACATCATTAATATTTTGATTTCCACTCATTTTACTTTTGTTTGTGCTAAACCAATTCAAAAATTGGCGGCCTTTGACATTTATTCTTCTTCTTCTGCTGCTAGCTAATTTCTGCTGGTAGAAATTTCACTAGCAAGAATTTGCAGCTCTCCCGTGTTGTTACGCTCGGGATTCAGTGCTCTCTTGCAAATTTGTTGGGTTATCATACACTTTTCCAGTAAAAATTTACTGGTTCCAGTACAAATTAGTACTGACTATTGATTACTATACAAACCTAATGTAAAAAAATGTCAGTTCACTAACAAATGTATTGAAATTAACAGTTATTTCGTTTTTTCCACGCGTTCAAGATTTTGTCTTTTAGTTCTGTCTTATTCATGGGACTTTTATTGTTTCTTGAGAATAGAGCTGTAATTCTTTATAGAATTCAAGTCCATATCCCCAAACCACTTCAGATTTGTTATGCTGTTCGGCAGTCGGCTGGGGAATAGATGAAACCACGTTTTTCTGAAAATCTGGGCTGGAATCGTAACATCCGTTCACGGATCGAAATCCATACGAAATAAAATTACGTAAATAGGATAAAGTATATCCTAATCCGAAAAATGTGTTTGTATGTGACGAAAAATATGATATCGTTTTTCACGATTCAAGCCCTGGGGGGCTACTCTGTGATGCGATGCGAAAGAGAAATGCGATGCGATAGGCAAATACGTCGTAAGTAACACGCCTATCGCATCGCATTACAGAGAAACCCCCCTAGAAGTATATAAAAAAGTAATTTCTCAGTTTTCACCAGGTTGGCGATTGTAAGCTTTTGACAACTACTACATAAACATAATTTCTTTAGTCTTTAATTTAGGGAACTACCTATGTAGTTATTTTCTTCTAAGCAAGCATTCATATACACCGCGTAACAAGATTATAAGAGCACCCACACGTACCAGGTTTTTTAAATTTATTTTTATGTTATTTAATTTTAGTTTACTTTCATCAAAATATAGTTTTGATAGTCTTTCACCAAGACTGTATAAATCGCGTAAATAATTATAAAAAAATCATCCAACTTTCGTAAATATTTCGAGCTATTTAATTAGATTTCTTAGAAAAATTTTGAGTATGCACGCGGTTTTTTGTGGCTCATTCAATTTTCAGTGGTCGAACATACATACATATCGCACACCATCTTAAAAAGAGGTACAACTCGTGGAGCTACAGATTCAACGCAATTAATACAATCAACGCAATTAATACAAAAACAAATATAACAGCAGTTTTTTAGTTAGATATTTAATATTATCATGATGAAAATCCTACGAATCGATTTATGCAAACCAATATACCTTAAATTTTTTTGTGTTGGTAATGGTGTGCGATATGTACACACTTTGTATGGAAGAAAATGCACAACACCATCAACAAAAAAATAAATAAATTAAAAAATCTACGGTAATTTCTTGCTCCTTCAAGCTGCAAGTTATTATACTAAAATTGAATGGTCTACAAAACAGCAAACTCTAAGAAGCCTAATAAAAAAGCTTAAAATATTTACGAAAATTTGTTGAACTTTTTCTAAACATTACACAAAATTTGAAACATGGATTTACCTATGTATATGCTTTTTGTTAACGAAATATATATATGTTTTAAGTAACTGGCTGAGTGGTTAGAGGTACGTACTACCACTCCGGAGGACCTGGGTTCGATCCCTGGCCCGGGCAGTATATAAATTAGAAAAAGTTGTTTTCTAACACCGGTCCCCTCGGCAGGCAATAGCAAACATCTGACTGTATTTCTGCCGTTCCGAGGCGACGGAAAACTGTAGGTCCCTCCCCTCCGCGTGACAACCTCAAGGCTCGGCCAAACACCAGCATAACACAGTTGAGTTAAAAATATTATAAATTATAACTAAACTAAATAACAAAAAAAAAAATTGCTAAAACTTGTCTATGTGTGGTATTTTATTCTTGGTCCGTTAGGCCAGCAAGTAATTTTGGATTCTATGTATTTCATTATTTTCTACCTCCACTTTACAACGTCGTTTTTATTGAATCTTAGAGCAATTAAAGTACCTTAAAGTATCAATTTTTAAACATCTTCATTAGATTAGTAATTGAAACAGCAGTTTTAAACCTGTTTTTTTTATTATTATTGTCTAATCAATTCTCACTGGCATACTAAAAGATGTTAAATACAAGCTCTGCGCTAACTTATGCATGAATGTACATACATACATATGTGTTTGCATGCACATTTTTATACACATAATACATAAGTAGGTATTCGAACACACTTAAATATATGCATCTGCAATTAAATT